ATGGACGCCAACAATGTACAGGGAATTGAGTAATTATGGTATGACACATGGTTAATAATATTAAACCCTTTTAAATGTTTGACCAAATTTTCAAAAATTTTAGATCTTTAGATTTTTATTGTTTGCGTTCATTTTTATTCTCTGATGCATTTCCTCAGCTTTTATTTATAAAATACAAATAATCAATTTATAAATAAAAATGTTAGTTAAATTGATTAAAGACAATAAATACATAAGAAAAATGCACGTATTTTTCAAGATATTTTTTTATTTATGAAGAATGGTAATAATCCTGATCAACAGACGCTAGCATGGCACCACCAACCGACATGCCCAGATGTTGATTTTAATTTTAATGGACAAAGTCCAGTAAATTTGTCTCATAAATTCTTGTATTTTCTTTTTTATTCGTTATTAATTTATCAATTTGTTCGCACTTTGACAGCAGAAATGTATTATAAGTGTGAATTGTCATGTATGGTTTCCTTGCAAGGTTGCTTTTAAATAGTGTCATTGTTCGATATTGTTTTCTTAGAAAAAATTTAAATGTATAAATATTTTCTTCCATCTCTTATGCCAATACAACCTTATTGCAATAAAGAGCATAAGAGATAGCAAAAGCTTTATAGCCCAGTGACATAAAGATTCTCTTGTAAGGGAGATTGCGAATTTGATATCACTTATAATTTTAGGTCGCCAATACCCCTCGAATTCGGGGAAAAAAGGGAGGGGCGCCGGGGGACGACAAAAGATGGAAACAAATTGAGGAGAAAAAATCAATTGGATTTGATTTGACCATCATGATGACTATAATTCTCATTCAAAGTTCACTTGTTTTGATGCGAAGAACTTTGATCCACAAACACCACCTTCGATTGTTTCAGGACAAAGTTGAACATGTTCACACGTACAAGAGTAATTTTGAGCCTAGTAAGAAGAAGAAAAACCCTTTCAAATCATTTACGGCAAAAACAAACATATAGATCGATGTCACGTATCAGATCAAGCAAGGCTACGCTAGCCGATTGGACTGTGCAACTCAACCCAATCAACCTTCCCCTTTTAGCCTTGACTCAATTTGGTTAAATTTGGCCAGAAAATAACATGGAAGGCATGCTAGATGAACATCCCTACTATTTACTTAAGAACATCATCAGAAAATAAAGCTACAACTTTAGAAGAGAATGTGCTTTAGGATTAGAGACCATGAGTCCTCTCAATTGAAAAGACTGATAAAGTGGTCGTGTGTTGAATTTGACAATGGAGATCAAATTGTTTTAGTCTAAATTGCAGTTTTCCTTCTTTATTTGCGTTTTTTTTTTTGGCCCCCAAGTTTGTTCTCTTTGAAACCCAAACGAACACGTCACTAGAGGGGAACCCAAGAAATAAAAAAAAAAATTTGAGTGCTCTCATCAAAACTGAATCTTTCAAAATCAATAATTGACCACTACATGGACCTGTTACCATTGAGAGGAATTGCTGCAAAAAGGAAACATGAAAATCCTAGCCCTGACCAAACTGGCACTTCATCCGTTCATCGGTTTGCCATGTATGTCAAATAAATAGTCCACACATAGGCGCAGGAACTGTTCATCAATGGCTGCACCATTCGCAAAACGAAGATAAACATTAGTTGAGCAGCTAGAAGAGTTCATTCATTAACATCAAATTGAAAGTTGAAACAGAACAAAAATTATGAACAGAGAGGGGCCTAAGTTTATAATATACAAACCTGTAACTGAACTTGAACGAATTTGAATGTCACAAAATCACAGACGGCCAAAACATAGCACCGCCCAGAAGTGTGGGAAGCAGATCACGCTTCAACTTAGCAACGATTTCAGAACCACTTTCACCTGAAATTGGCACAAAATTATACATCAGAATTACAACAGTGTTATGCTACAAAATGAGGAGGAAAAAATTGTATCAGCTGACTTGAAATAAGCATTAATGAGACATCAATTTAGTGTGTTACATGTAGCACAGAGCATGCCCATTATATGACCCAAATTTACACTCTGTTGAATCTGAATGAAAAGCTGTGAAGGACCATCATGCAAGTATAGTAAAGACTCCTATAGACCTCTAGGAAGTAAAAAAACATATCTTGATTGATCAAGATTCCTTACTGATGAATGATTACACAAACTAGGAGGCTTTTAGATATATGAGAAAGTGGAAGGTGACAACATTCTGGAAGGGAAAAGTTTTGAATTACCTCGCAGAACAGAGGTATAGAGAAGAAAACAGTATTGATGATAGGACCAAATACCCGCTGCCCCATGAAAATTTTCTTCAAGGTTGATGGCACATCTGTCTTTGGTAAAACCTTGGACAAGAAGTTAAACCACATATGTTGTGATGGCCCCATAATGAATAACGCATATGTTCCCATGCTCAATGTCCTTTTCAAGTCATAGGGAGCAGACTCCGATGGCATGGTAATTGTCTAGCATGTATAAATCATTAAGTTAGCTAAGGCACAAATACTAAGATAAAACCGGGAAGGATAAGACAAGCAGTGAAAAATGTTCTCTACTGGACAACATAATCATGGATAAGGTTCATTGTCAGGAATTTGTTAGAAATAGAAAACTGCTTCTTTGTTTGAATAAATATATAAATGAAATAAAAGGACATTTTACTAAAGATTTTTCAAAGGCATTTCACATGAAGCATACATTGACTGTCCACTTTTTAATGTAAAATAAACTAGGAGCTTATGCAATAAATTATTCAAGCAAATAAACTTGGAATTTACATTCACAGAAAGGAAGAAACCAATCCCAACTGGGGGAAACCCTGAAACTGGTAACAAATCTTATGTGCCTCACGTTGTACAACAGAGAAAAATTTTACGCCACTGCCTCGTAATAGGGATAAGACCAACTTGTGCCTTGGACTGGAAAAAATTACTAGAAACAGAAACTGATGGCCAGTATTCAAAACTTAAGTGGAAGTCTTTTCTGTGCCATTGCGGAAAGAGAGAAAATGTTTAAAACAAACACTGCAAATAATTGAGTATACGTAATTGTGAAACAGTGGCAAATCAAACCATGTTAAAAGATAAACAAGAAAACAAAAGCATTAAAATTATTACAGTCACAAGCTCAATGAATATTATGAACGGCAACTAGCATGAATGTTAAAAAAGGAACTGTGTTATTGACCTGAAGACAAAAGTAGTTCTAAAAATCTATTCCACAAACCTGCCAGAAACGGAGGTAAAGAAAAGCAAAGCATCACGGAAAAAGGTCTGACTTCGTAATGCACACGAACAAGTGGGTGCTAACCATGATCAAGCCAAAATAGAATTTCTAATGACTTTCAAGGCTAGTAAGGGAAAAATGATGCATATAGAAACTAGAAAGATCATGAAATTAAATTGGGAATAGAGTTAGCTCATTTCGAACCCCTTTCAAGGGAAGGGTTGAAGCTTCGATACTCTGATGATTAAACAAATTGTAGGCACAAAGCCCTCCAAACTCACCCAAGGCACATTTGGCTTAAACAGTGACAAGTCACGAGCCTACAGCTACATGCTAAAAAAAATTAATTTAAATGCATAAACAAAACAGTTCAGCTCCAACTCATTGTCAGCTAGTGCCATTTTAGGGAACTATGCATTTCAAACTATAAAATGTTAAGTAAAAACCCAAGCAGGGAAATTATCTCGAACAATTAATAATATTTGCAGCACTCCACTTTCCATAGATTCACGGCGTCGTTGCATACAATACATACAAGTTGAAATTAGCCTATCGCAGCTACAATATCAGAGCAATGAGAATCTCTAGGATGCAAAACAAAAACCTTTCACCTGCGAAGTCAAGTCAGCTGCAATAAAAATAAGTGATGATGTTATGCTCTTTGTGATAATTGGCTGGGTTTCGAGCTTCCGCAGATACCAACTCACAAACCCAAACTTCAGAAAAAACGAAGAAGAATTCGATGAAGTAAACGAAGGCGAAGACCGTTTTCTCATTTCGTGATAATATCGAACACATGGTGGGCACTGGCGCAAATATGTAAAAGAACGGATTTGCGTAAAGCACCGCCATCTAACGCTAATTTTCTATCGCGCGGTTGGAGGAAGCAGCGTTTGGCGATGTCCCGCATGATATTGAAGTTGCTCATTGCCAGAGATTTTTGTGAAGTTGTTCCTATGAACTATAAGCTTCATTCACGCAATCTTGCAAACGTTGAGCAGAAAACTCAAAATTTGACAAACTTTTTACGTAAATTCAACATGAAAATCTAATGACGACCAGGTATCTAAAGCTATTCAGGCACAACCGCGAGAGACATCGAGAATCCGACGAAATTGGAGAAGAGCATGGAGAGTCGTTTTTCGTTTGGGCCAAAGCGAATAGAGAGTCGGCAAAATCTAACGCGTCTTATTGCACGCCTCAAACGACGTGACGTTCTGACTCTCAAATTGACAAAAGAAAAGTAAAAAGGAAAAATAACTCACCGATGAATATCGTGTTATTCTCCAGTCTAGCCTTCACTCATGATTAGGCTAATTTACATTTGGCTACTGCATTATGTTGTTTCTGTGTTGTTTCTGAATCAATTTGTAAATTCATTAATACCATTTGTTGGACCATTATACTGCATAAAACTAGAAGCAGAAAACATATGGTTATTTTTTATCATTTTTAATATTTTTTTCAGTCCTAATTAAAAACCCTCGTTTACAGTCTATAAATAAAGTTTTATAATTATGATAGGAAATATTCTATTTTAAGGTCAATTTTTTCAACACTTTTGATGAATTGAAAAATAGAGGGGATCACTTATTTAATTATGAGTATCTCCATTTCACTCTTTTTAAGATTATTGAATTCTCTCTTTTCCCTTCTAAGATCACATCACTGCAAATTTTGGTACCCATTTAGACAATTTATTCAGGTGGCTGGTCAAATGAAAGGAATAGGAAGTGTAGTCTTGAGAATATTTTGACCTCTCTCTATTTACTATAGTTAACTGTGGTAGTAGTTAATCATTCTTCATTTATATTTGCTAACCTTTTTTTCCTTCTTTGGTATTGCCTTATGATATACTTTATATTTATATTATTAATATTTTTTCCCTTTTTATCCAAAAAAAAAAAGTTTATCCATCATCCTAAGGGCTATTTGCCAATTAATTTTTCAAGGAGAGATTTACTCCCCCATTTCCCCCTAAAATTTAATAGTATTTTACTAAAATATCTTTGATTTAATTGCTATAATTTTTACCAAAAAGAATTACGGCATGAAATATATGATTGGAGTAGATTGAGACATAAGAAGGTAAAATAATTGGTAAATGAATAGTTAACGTTTCCCTTTTATTTTTAAAAAAATTCTGAAATGGAAACCGTTAGTTTACAGATTACTTGCATTAACTGTACGCTAATCAGTTATGTCATTTGAAGCTTATAATTGACTTTTCTGAGGCATTCCTCAGCTAACGTGCTTTTTTAAAAAAAATAATAAACTAACATATGCATGTTATAATTGTATTTATGATAGTAGTATGTTTAAAAATCCACAATAATTACCCTCCAAAAGCCCCTAGAATTTCAGGCCAAAACAGAAATATATGATAAATGTGGGAGCTGTTGTATAAATTTAACTCTCCTGAAGCCTTCCTCCATCAGCAGTAGAGAGTTACAATTCTTTCAGGCTTTATAGTGCTGTGAGAAGCTCCATTGCATATGGCGAAGTTTTTGTTTGCTTCATTTTCCTGCTACTCAGCATCATGTAATTTCATTCATTTATATATTACACTTCTTATCCTTTAATTTGTTCCCATAAAGTGATAAATACGTATTCTAACAAAACTTCGGCCAAGGTGCCTTTGATTTATCAAGTTGAGTAAATATACAAGTATGCATACGTATTTTAACAACTAGGAATAATAAAATACTCTTTCGATTCTTAATATAAAACCTATTTAACTAATTTGATTAGATTAAGGAAGTTAGGTAAGTTAGTTAATTATAAGAAATATGACATGTTTTTCTTAAAACATCATAATCATCTTTCTTAATATCCTTCCTCTCTCTTCTACTTGATTATGGTTGAGGAAGTATCCATAGGGATAATTTAGGAAAAACTGATAAATATGAGAAATAGGTCTTATATTTAGGACCAAAATCAATTCAATAATTAAGTCTTATATTTAGGACTGAAGGATTAACATGTATCCATAGTTTATAGGTAATTTTATAAGTGCATATATATATATATTTAAACAACTAACAATAACAAAAAATATATATCAAGTGTGACTGAAGAACTTGCCCGGATGAATGTTCCCTTTATTTTGAAGCAATACACAAACTGGGGGGGGGGGGGGAGTCATCAATCAATAAATAAGCTAAATTGCAACCAAATATATACAAACAGTGATTTAATTGAAAACTTCTCATGTCATTCCCATTTAGGTCCGATTCGGATCCCTCCATTGTTTCAACCGATCCATTCCTTATCGACAGAATTGGACAAAAGTTGTAACATGGGAAAACCACAGAAAACACAACTTATTTGAACAAGTTATTTATAGATTATATAGATACTTCTCACCGATTACTTCTTCCTTTATTTTTTAATCCGTTGCTTTAATTTTTTTTTTTTGCATGGAATTTGCTTGAGATGTAAGATTTCCTGAAATTAATTAATCGATCACCATCTTTATACAGTACGGCAAAAATATTAGATAAACATTTATGAAACTTGCAGGCTGGTGTTCAAGGTGGCAACAGATGATTATGGTTCCTGTGTTCATGCATTGAGTTTTGTAGTGGCACCGCTGGCAAAATCTGTCCTATTTGTATTGATAATCATTGTCATTCTAGCTGTGTTGCAACTTGCGAAGCCAAGTTTCCATCTCAAGTCTCAAAAGGCATATCCCAATAACCCATAGGATTTCTTTTATTACCTGGTTGTTCTCTATTTGTGGTACCCAATAAATTATCTAAGAGATGCTGGCCAAGACTGATAGGGGAAAAAAATATTTATGATACTCCTCCGATCTTTAAGATAGGACTTAATTGTTGAATTGATTTAGTCCTAAATATAAGACCTATTTCTCATATTTATCAGTTTTTTTTAAATTATCCATACAGATACTCCCTCGACCATAATTCAGTAAAAGAGGGAGATGAAAATATTAAAGAAGATGATTATATTATTTTAGGAAAAATATATCATATTTCTTATAATTAACTAACTTACCTAACTTCCTTAATCTAATCAAATTAGTTAAATAGATCTTATATTAAGGATTAAGGATCAGAGAAGTATCTCGTTTGTTTATTCTCTTCATGTAATCAATATCTATAATGAGATTAAAACAGAAGTAAGGAAAGAGAAAAGAAGGAAAGTAAGGGGGAATAAATTTTCTCCTTTTTATAAAATAAGAGAAAATGTGAATGAAAGAAAATCAAGAGAGAGAGAGAAACTGAGAGACACTAGCTCATTATATGTTTTCTCCCAAAGTTCTTTTGAAAAATGGAGAGACTTCATGTCATCAACAAATTTGGTCTAATGATAAGCGCATAAAGATTTAATTCTAAGATAGAAGAGGTATCTGCAGATCAATTTTATAAAATGAGAAAAATCATCCAACTAAAGTTAGAATAACAGAAACACAACATCAGTTTTAAAAAAAGGAGTGGCTAGCAAACGTTATTAAAGCAATGCATGAACATTCTTTTGTGAAGCGCCACTGAAATTTGAATGGACAAAAAGACCATTGAACAAATTCTTCTTGCATGTGATAATGTTAATATAGTTCAATTATGTTGAAAATATTAATACAATCAGAGTAACTCCATTCAATACAAGTCTTAAACACTAAAAGCAAAATAGATGAGATCCGAAAATTGAACCGCTACTCAAATAGTTTGTATTTCTTCACAATCAAAATAAATTATGGTAATACAAGAAATATGTCTACGAATCTTAACCTTTTTGCACGTAAATTGCTCACTCGTGTGCAGATTTGAGAATCATGCCTATGTAGCAAGGGGGAGAAGCACACGTGTGGCACAATTAGCTTATCAAAAGAAGCCTCCACGTCGGATTCGGGTCATCTTACCATTTCACCTGAGGCTACTTGTTATCCATGACCGCGTACCCGGAAAAATGCGGTTTGGTATCAAAAGCCACGGTTTCCCACACTATCGTACTCTTTCTCGTTATCATTGCTGATAATGCTAGCTTCGCAATCTTATCTTCCCAACATCGTTCATGTAAAAGGTATTGTTCTTTTTTTATTTTTTTTATTTTTTTACTTTTTCCGTTTTCACTCTTTGTGGATTTTCCAAGTGGTCTTCTTTTTCACTTCCATCTCCTCTGTTTCTGTATTCAATTATGTAGGATGGAAACCTTCTGTATGTAAGCCAAGCAATTTCAATGTCTCTGTGAGTATCTTCCGCTCCCCTTTATGTGTTCTTTAATTTGAAAATTCCGTGCAGCTTCTATTGTAGCCAGCAGGAATTATCCGTAAACTTCTTGGGGGGAATGCTTCGAAGAGCTGAATCTGGCCCATTCACTTTAATTTTGCTTGTTTTGGGGCTTCAATTGATGTTCTTATTTGCTCTTATCTTAAATTTGTGTGGTTATTGATGATGATAAGGAAAGGGGAAATACAAACCTAACCCAAATGCTAACGAGAAAAAGATAACATGCTTGCCTCTACCAAGATTCAGCCAACAAGCTCGTATTCCAGATTTTGAGAATGATTTTGTTTGCCAGGTCACTCTTTCTTGAGTAGAATGAATTCTTGGTTCCAAAGGTTAGGCATTAGTGTCTCATTTCAGTCCTTCATAGATTTTTATTTGAAAATGGTCCTCAGGTGAACACTAATAACGGACAAGGATTAAGTATCTAAGTTTTGATCTTATATTGGCACTAAGCAGCAGTAGAGTATTTGCTAGGGGATATCTGAAACTAGTATTCTGCTTAAATGTTGAATAGGTTCACAGATCATCCATAACACACTTTTTATATGGCCTAGGTTCAATTTCTTTTTAAAGTAATATTCGTGTGATTTTGCTTTTGTTCAAATTATTTATTGTGTTTGAATTGTCTATTAATCCATCTCTCTCTCTTTCACTCTCTCTCTCTCAACATCTTTAGATCAGTGAAGAAATGCAGAACAATTACAGATTTAGCAAGCTTAATTTCATCAGTTTTCAACAATTTTTATTGCAACTTGACATTCATCTATGTGTGATTCATGAGATTCGCATTAATCGGCATTCTTCTAATTGAATTATTGATATGCTAATTAAAGTTGCTTCCATCAAAACAGAGTTGCTATCCACCTCTGCTTTGCTTATTTCTACTTGACACTGAATGATTCCGTTTGGCTTAACTTAGAGAGTAAATATGAAATTGTATTTGGTACTCCAAGGAGATCACTTATCCCCTACAGCCATTTACGAAATTTCATCGTTTTTAAAAAAAAAAAAAAATGCCAAAGAAGCATGGATACTGTACAAATTTTCATAACTGGTCATCGTTTTTATTTTTCTTTTTCTGAATTCCATCAAATTCAAATGCAACTCTTATATTACGCTTAGCATTCAAATGCAACTCTTATAGTACATTTAACCTACTGCTATATGCCTGTATATGTTGAACTGGTGGCCACACCTTACTTTATAGGATACGGCGCTTGAATGACGACTGAATAGAATGCTTGGCTTTTGTACTTACTGGTACCATGTTCTACTTACCTTATAATCTGACGTTTCAAGTATTGCAGGAAAGATCAAGTTTTCCAACCAAGAGAGATGCAAATGTTCGATCTCAAAACTTGCAATGTAGTGCCGGCACTGTATTCTCAACATTGGATGCGGTGGTGATTTCATCGATGGCCTCTTCCAACTCAAATGCAGTTTCCAATACTCTAAAGCAGGCCACAACAGAAATAACACATGCACTTCCTCTTACAAACTTCAACTTGAGGTTGGCTCTTGCAGATTTGGATCCTGCCACTGCAAAGCTAGCAATTGGGTTTTTAGGTCCCTTTCTGTCAGTGTTTGGATTTCTGTTTATCTTGAGAATAGTGATGTCCTGGTATCCCAAGCTTCCTGTGGGAAAGTTCCCATATGTGATAGCTTATGCTCCCACAGAACCACTTCTTGTTCAGACCCGCAAAGTGATCCCTCCGCTCGCTGGTGTGGACGTCACTCCAGTGGTTTGGTTTGGTTTACTCAGTTTTCTTAATGAGATATTGGTGGGACCTCAAGGGCTGCTTGTTCTTCTTTCTCAGCAAGTGAATTAGATTACATATGTGGGATTTGGGTGCATGATCAGAATGTGTTCCATCGTTCCTTTGGGCACATCCGATGAAATTGGAACGATTTGGAGATTGTAGCCATTACATTCTTGTCAATGGATGTATATGAGTATACAAATTTGGTCACTTTGTTGTGCTAGTGGCTTCAGTAGGTACGTGGATAATGAGATGGTTGAGAACAGACTACAGAGGAATCAAAATCTTGTACTTCTAGATCAGATCTTATGATTCAAAAAATCAACAGAGTCAATGGTTGAATCAACATCGACAATTGTTCTGGATCGTGAAATTCGCAGTTCAAATGTTATGATTTGTAACAAGTACTGAAGTTAATGATATAAACCGATTACTGAATTAATTGTAAACTATGCATATCAAGTTAATATGCCGTAATAGCATGACTTTGTGATGTAGAAATATGCGACAACAATATATTGTCCTGACTGTTTTTTATATATAGCTTGAAAAGAAAGAAAAAGGATGCTGTTCGAGATTGTTTTGGTAATTAAGTAATTATTTATTAATTATATGAGCGATGGGTTAATTAATGAGTTATAATAAGTATTGTTTGGACACTGGAATTATATTTACTATACATAAATAATTTGTGAGCTAATTTATAAATTTAAGAAACTCTTTCTTTTGATAGGCTAGTTTTTTGAGATGAGAATCTCTTTTTAAATTTACACTTATCATATTAATGATGTTTATCGGGAGAGTTAGTTGTGGAAGGTTCTAATAGGCAAGCTTGATGCCACATTATTCGCATATTCTTTTTATCTGTGTTTTTTTTTTTTAATTTTCTTTGTGCCAACATCTATTTTTTTATTTAAAAAGGATAAGAATTTTTATAAATATATGCACGCACCTAAAATATAATGCCTGCAGCTTGATGCTTACGTCGATATCATTTTAGCATCTTGAAAATCTGACCATAAGGTAAGCCACACGGTTCTGGTCAAAAAAAAGATAAGCCATGCGCGGTCCCGAAGCTAGCTTGTGGCATTTTCAAATATTTTCTTCACAAAAATTGAGGTCGAGACTTTCTGAGAGTTACGGAACAAATAGCTTCTGCAAAATTCCACTCCATTCCTTCCCACCTTCATACTGTAACTCCACTTTACAGTTGACAGTCCTCCCTCTACAAATGCTTATACATCCTTCTCTTTCTCTCTCATCGTTTCCCGCCACTCGCAAACCCCAATCTTCTTCTTCTCTATGCCTCAACCAATGCCGTTCGTCTCTCCCCTTCTGGTTTCTTCCACTTTTCCCTCATCCCCGTCAAATTTCTGGGACCCACCGATCCGGCATATGTGCTGCCATCGCTGCCGGTGGTGAGCGTGGTGAAGTCGACACCTTCACGGCGAAGTCTGGCTACCTCTTCGAGCTCAGCGACTCGGAGGCGGACTCTCTGGCTGAGTACAGGATATCTAAGATTGCTGCCATTTATAGGAGAAAGCCTTTGATTGTTATTCGCCGGTTGTTTCAGATAGGAACTACTTTTGGCAAATGGTTTGGCCTCCGTCTCATTGACAGACTGATGGAGCGGTCTGATGAAATGTTTGAGGTTTGTAAATTTTGTTTTGTGCAACCTAATTGGTTTATTTGCAGTATGTTTCTGATGGAGAGATTGAATTTTCATTATTACGCGAGGATAAATATTTTTGAAGCTTATGATTTGCGGGTTGCATTGGCAAGCACTGAATGTTCCGTTTTGTTTCTTTACTTGTAGGTTAGAGCTGCAGAACTCAGGAAGATATTGGTGGAACTTGGGCCGGTATGTCAAGTTTTTTAAACTATAATAAAGTCTTGGGCTTTTTTCTGATCCCCTTTTCCTACAACTTGGTGTCATTCTGATTTTGATTGGTAATGATAAATGGGGTCCATACTGTTTTTCTAAGACGTCGAATTACCGTGTGACTTTGTTCAAGTGGTGTAAATGGATCAGCTCAATCATTGCAGCTTTCAGTTTGTTCAAGCCGAGGTTTCTGCATTTCGTTTTCTTCAATAAGTTTTCATGAACTTTTTGGGTTTTTGGATTTTCATCTTGTTGTTGAACTGAATCATTATGATTCGTGAGTGTCCGGTTGAGTTATACTGTTTATTATAAATGTTCCCTCTGTTTTCTTCATTCTTTTTCTCACTCCAGGTTTTGCCTTTGACGTCCTTTTGAGCCATATATCTGCTATATTCTTTGGCAGCTGGAGAAGAATGAAGTACATTATGTAATTTTCAGAATGTCAATCCTCTAAATTGGAAATCCTGGGGCATGGAGCACTGTTTAAGTAAAAAATTCAATGTATCGCTTGATAATCATCTTAAATTTGTAGAAGTGTCTGCATCAACTCACCTTTACTGATATTTTTTATCAAGGTTCTTGTTGTAATGCCTAAGAGAGTCCCATGCCTAACTGCTATTTTTATGGAATATCTCATAATATTTGGTAGTTCCAATGTGCATTTTTTGTAACCACAACGGTTCTGTTATTTAAGGCTACTCTGCTATGGATGCTGAGTTTTGTGGATGATATTGTTTATTGTCGCATGTCAGTATTTTGTTTATATGATGCTAGTGTACTAAAATTTCTAATCTAATCCAGTGATATCAGTTACAACTCTTTCAATCGCTTTGAATAAAAGCAACTTCATTTTAAAAATTGAAGTGTTTTGTTACTTTCTCGCAGGCATATATTAAAATTGCTCAGGCTGTCTCATCTCGTCCAGTAAGTTACATCCAGTCTGATATTTTTTTTTTTTTAAGTGTTCCTTCTATGTGTTGCTGGTCTTTTAATACACTTCATATAACTTTCCTGTTGAATTGTTATTTACTTGATGATAAAGCTTCTTTTTCTTGTCAATTTTCATTATGCTAAATGAGTGCAAATAAAAACGTCATTTGGGATTAATTCTCTCTTCAAATTCAGTTATGCTATTTAAAGTACATATACAAAGCATGCCATTCTGTTGCACTTCGTATTAGAATGTTCCCTATTGATGTATATTCTTACTTTTGCTCTTTTTGATCTTTTGTTGTAATGGGCCAATGGTGTCCTATCTTGGTAATTACTTGCATAAGATATATTAACTTTATTAATCTCAATCACTTTCTAAACTCCATGTCTGTTTTCTTGCTTATCTAGGAGGATGGGAATTCATTTATGTGTTTGCAGGCTTGTTTCCATATAACATTGACGAAAATTTGATATACAAAAATTTTAAATAAATTATTCTTGTAGGATTTGTTACCACCATCATATGTGGATGAACTCTCATTGTTGCAAGATCGAATAAGCCCGTTTTCTACGGAAGTTGCTTTCAGTATGATAGAACAAGAACTTGGTTTGCCTATTGATGAACTTTTTTCAGAGATTTCACCTATGCCTGTAGCTGCAGCATCCCTGGGCCAGGTTTACTTATTTTTATGGTTTTATCTTCCTAAGGTTTTGGAAGTTTTGTGAATTCTTAATTGTTTTTCCAAGTGTATCTCAAAATTCCTGAAAATTTGAACTTCTTTGTGTGGGTAGGTTTATCAAGCTAGGCTTCGCCAAAGGAGGCAGGTTGTTGCTGTTAAAGTCCAAAGACCAGGAGTCCAAGCTGCAATTTCCCTTGACATGTTAATATTACGTTTTCTGGCAGGTTTCATTAGGAGAGCTGGCAAATTTAATACTGATCTTCAGGTAGTGTAATGTCTGACAGAGATTAAATGGCAGAAGTATAAAATTTAGTTACATTGACACCAAAATGATTGTCATTGCTATTAATGGCTCTTTTATTCAAGGCTAGTTTACTATTGATTATTTTCATTTAACTCCACATGGGGCTGAATAAATTTTAATTTTTGACAACAATTAATCTTCTCTCTCTCTATGTATGGTTGTGTGTATATGTATATTTCTATGCATGTGTGGTATGTTTCCAGGATGATATTGTGTTTGGTTGCTAAAAATGATCTTACATATGCAGGCTGTTGTTGATGAGTGGGCATCAAGTCTTTTTCGGGTATGCATTGATATCCTTGTATCTTAAATTGAACCTTTCAATATGCATGTTTATATGGTCGAATGTGTGCGAACAAGGATTTAATGATAGAAAAAAGTTTGATATCTTCTCGTCAACTGAGGACTATTTAATTTATGCATGGATGATTTGACTACCTGGTTAAAGGCATGTAAGACATTGTTGTACTTGCTGCTGCGAGCCTGCAAATATACTTTGGATCCTGATCTGTCAATGGATTGTATTATTAGTTGGTCTATATGGGTTGAAGTCCAATTACTGACAGTGGAGCTTGAGTTTCAGTCGGGAGTAATAACTATAACACTTAGCCAGAAGCCAGAGTCATGATTAGAACTCTTTGCTAGAATCCAGATCATCCCATTTAGTGTCTGTGACTGTAAATGTTAATATTACCTTTAAATTAGCGTTCATAACTTAAATATACTTAGTTCCTTGTTAGTACTGGGTTTGATATTCTTTCTTTTGTGATTTTTCGGTTCAATTAGCTCATGAGGGGGGGGGGAGGAGGAAAGAAAATTAGATTACGTGAGCAAGGTAAGTCAACTAAATAATTAGTATAATGACTTCAACAATTATTATTGTTGGCTTGTGACTTATTTTTTGGGGAAACTATTTTGCAGGTACCTATAGTTTCCCTCAATTTTTAATTTGGTACCTGGGTTTTTTCCCCTCTTAATTAAACACTCTAATTATACTCTGTTAGCATTATTAACTTCTGTAATTTTGCTCTATTAAAGCTAATTATGCTAACAAAACAAAATTATAGTGTTTATTAAGAAGAGAAAAACACACAGATACCAAATTAAAAATTGAGAAGAACTATAGGTACTTGCAAAATGGTTTTCTCCTACTTTTTTTATTATTTTTTTAAGTAACTTGATTCCTTTTTTTCAGGAGCATACATGTTTTATCATCTTTTTGTTTTGCACCCTGGCGTAATACTTGAGCCCATAGGGCTCTGGACTCAAATGAATTCTAAAAGCTGGGTGATATTTGACAGAGCTTTTTTTTTTTTTTTTTTTTTGGTTAACTGGTTCTTTTCTTCTCTGCCTCCCCCAAAATCCAATTTTTCTTCCTTTTAAATGATGGAATGAGATGATATTTTATCCACATGATTTGTATTTTCCACTTCCTCTTCTGCTTAAAAATTTATTGCTTTATGCTAAGTGATTCTATTATTATAAAAACTCTGATTAAAAGGACAACCTTACTTGATTTAAATTTTTAATCAGTGAAACTTATTCTCAAAATTATTCTTTCATTTCCTAATGCTGTTAGGCTTAAAACCTTAGAGAATTGGATAATGCAAGGATTTGTAATGTTGCTTAAGCTTGTCAAATCTTGTGTATATTTTATAAAAGTTATAATTCTTAGAAATTAAAATTGAATACAGGTAAATCACCTTGAATGCAGGAGATGGACTATAAGAACGAAGCTAGCAATGGTCTCAAGTTTAGGTAAGTGCACGCTATCAGTGCTTTTTTGACGTTCTAGTCTTTTTTAGAGTGGTATGCTTTGAAAACATAAGGATTGGTTTACCTTGTAGTGGCTGACTCGTTTTACACATTTGTATTACTGTCATCATCAGTCAACTTTCTCATATTGTGACTTGGTTTGGAAGTTATGAATTGAGCCCTTTGTTTTTATTTTGTTTTCTTTTTGTTTTTCTTATCAATTAGCCGATTCTTAGAACTTGGAACAAAATTATTTTTAAGCTTAGGGTGAAGAAAGGAGCAAAAGGCCTTGGAAAAAATGTGCATCAGTTGCGGGGACTTGGTGCCTTTGGTTGGAGCTTTACACCCTTTGGATTTTATTTTATTTCCCACTCCCATCCACTCCCCCCACCAAAAAAAAAAAACAAAAAACGTTTTTTGGATAGACTTTTACTGACTTTCTTGTTCTTTGTTCAGTCGACATCATTTTAATTCTTTCTAAACAAGAATCTCAGACTGGCTTTTAACTTTTTACTCTATACATCTTATGGTAATAGGAGACAAGAGTGCTGATGAAAACACTCCGACTTGTCCAACACTTGAATTAAAGTAATTTGTTGCACTTTTGGGATGATTTGTCCCCATTTCCCCTGCTTTTCTAAGATTTGGGCTTTTAGGAGGCTGAAAGTTTGTCTAGCTAGCTCCTTATTCGTTATGTCACTGACTTACAAAGCCTCTGACTTGCTAAAAATTTCTTTATCTGCGTTTACCATAGCAGTCCCTCCCTGGCCCTTGAATGTTTAATTTTGTATATTTTTGTACCAAATTTGAGACCTAGCACTGCTAATGATGATGTTTTTTCAGTTCTCATTGAACATTAATTGAGGCATCATGGGTTCCTTTTTCTGTTATTCATTATCTGTGATGAGCAGGGAGTTATATGGCTCCATACAAGATGTGGTGGTTCCCTTAATGTATATGGAGTACACTACTCGCAAGGTCATTGTCATGGAATGGATTGAGGTATTTGTTTCATCTTTGTCGAGTTGTCTATTTACTTTAGTTGAGTAGGAACTAGAGATTTGTCCCACATGTTGCATGAAGCATTAGGAATGAACCACATTATCTATGGCTTGTGAGCAATGTAGCTTGTTATAGATTCAAAACACCCCCCGGGGGGGGGTCCTTATACATCAGTTGTCTTCTAAAAGATAAGGTTGGTCCAATTTATAAGTTGTTGTGTCAAAATATCAAATGATTTACTTTTTCACCCGTAGGATTTTAACTTGTGGTCTCATGACTTGAGTGAAGGTTCTATGATCTCTTTTACAAAAAATGAAGATGACTAGGGTTATGATTGGAATACTTCAATGCTTTTGGATAAATAAGTCCATGTAACAACTTTTCTTAATCTGCATGAAAATGTCTGAAGCATCTTATATTAAGAACTGGAGGGAATATTTCATATTGGTATATTGATAATTCAATGCATCTGTGGAGTTAAATTAACGTGGGGCATGAGATGTGTGACCCTAAAACTTTTCAAACTATTCTGAATCTTCCTTTCAGTGCTGGTATGAATTAGAATATTGCCGTTTACAAAATCAAATAATGAGAAAAATAGCAGTCATATTGTAATTTCTTTTATCAAACTCTTAAGAGTAATTTTCCAAGGATGCCTGAAGTTTCCTCCCTTCTAAATTCAAGAGAAATATAGAGGCCATTTTCTCTTGTAGGGGATAATTTTCCCCCTTCGGAATAGCTCTGAGACTTCTGAAGTAATTCTCTTTTTAATTTTTTTACATGCATTGTGATTGTAGGGGCAAAAGTTATCAGAAGTGAAGGATCTCTACTTGATTGAGGTCATTTGTGAACTGAATGCAGACATTCTTTTTTTAGTATTTACTCTGCTAGCAATCAGCTTTTACACAATGGACTGAGCAAGTTCATCTTTCCTTTCTGGTGATAATTAGGTGGGGGTCTCCTGCTCATTCAATCAACTTCTTGAGTGTGGATTCTATCATGCAGATCCACACCCTGGCAATCTTCTCCGTACATATGATGGAAAACTAGCTTATTTAGGTAACTTAAAAATGAAAAATTTGAAATATACAAATCCAGTGTATTTTCCTATGCGCTTTATTGCTTGCTTTATGTATGCTCTGTTGGCTTCGTGGTTGATTTCTGCACTAATCTTGTTTGACAACTTAACATTTCAAACACGTTGAACTCTTGGAATACTTACCTCATGGTGTGAAACCTTGCTTTCTCTCTGTGTAGAATTAGGATGCAGAACTGATTGATTTTATTCAAATGTGGACTTGGCACATATAGGAAGAGATTAGGGTTAGTTAGCCCATAATCTCCTAGAATCTCGGAAGCTTACAATCAAAGGAAAATCAAATCTGTAAAACAAATCTGAATATTTCTAACAATCTATAATTTAAAAGGATAAATATTAAATATTTAAATATTAAATATTCTTACTAAAACGGCGCTGTTCAACACTCCTCCTCAAGCTGGCAAATAGATGTTGATCATTCCCAGTTTGGAATTCAGAGCTTCGAATCTGTCCCTTGTGAGCACCTTAGTTAGGATGTCTGCCACTTGTGCCTTCGTGTGTATGTAGGCCAGATCAATAGTTCCATCTTGAATATGATCCTTTATGAAACTTCGGTCAATTTCCACATGCTTAGTTCGGTCATGCAAAATAGGGTTCTGTGCTATTTTCATTGCAGCTTTGTTGTCACACCAAACTTTCATAGGTTTATTGATTTCTATATTGAGGTCCTCCAGTACCCTTTTTATCCATACTATTTCACAGATTCCATGAGATAGGGATCTAAGTTCTGCTTCAGCAGAGCTTCTTGCAACCATACTTTGCTTCTTGCTTTTCCATGTTACTAAGTTTCCCCAAACATAACAACAATAACCTGTTGTGGATTTCCTATCAACCACACGCCCTGCCCAATCTGCATCAATGTACAGATCAATATCTTTTTCCTCGTTTTTAGCAAAGAACAAACCTTTCCCGGGTGTTCTCTTAAGATATCTTAGTATTCTATACAAGGCATCCATATGTTCTTTGTGAGGATCTTGTGTGAATTGACTTACTACCCCGACGGCGAAGCTAATATCAGGTTTGGTGTGAGATAAATAAATAAGTCTTCCAACTAGCCTTTGGTATCTTCCTTGGTCGACTGAGGGAGTTCCTTGTTTCTTGAACTCTGTTTTATAATTTGATTCTAGTGGAGTGTGTGCTGGTCTTGATCCTAGCATTCCTATTTCTTTTAACAAATCAATGGTATACTTTCTTTGAGAGACACTAATTCCTTTACTGGATCTAGCAACTTCTAAACCCAAGAAATATCTAAGTTTTCCCAAATCTTTGATTTCAAATTCCTTTGCCAGGCATCTCTTCAATCTTTGCAACTCATCCAAGTCATCACCAGTTATAACAATATCGTCGACATAAACAATTAGAATGGAAATTTTCGCATTATGGTGTTTCACGAACATGGTATGATCTGATTGGCACTGCTTATAATTTTCCTTTATCATTGCTTTTGCAAATCTATCAAACCACGCTCTTGGTGATTGTTTTAACCCATACAAAGACTTGTTAAGTTTACATACCTTGTTTGGGAAATTCTGCCTTTTTACACCAGGTGGAAGTTCCATATATACCTCTTTAGATAGCTCCCCATTTAAGAACGCTTTCTTGACATCTAGCTGATGTAGTGGCCAATCCCTATTAGCTGCAAGCGACAAGAGAATTTTGATCGTATTGAATTTAGCAACGGGAGCAAAAGTCTCCTCATAGTCTACTCCATAGGTTTGGGTGTACCTTTTTGCCACTAGTCTGGCCTTGTACTTATTGACGGTACCATCAAGGTTGTGCTTGATAGTAAACACCCATCGGCATCCAACTGTCTTGCTACCTTTGGGCAAGTCAACTACTTCCCAAGTATTATTCTTTTCAAGTGCTTGAAGTTCTTCCATGATGGCCTCTCTCCATTTAGTATCAATTATGGCTTCCTGAAAATTTCTAGGGATTCTTTCTTCAGCAATATTAGCAACAAAGGTTCTCAAATTTGAAGATAATCCCTCATAGGAGACATACTTACAGATTGGATGCTGTGTACATAATCTCTTACCCTTTCTTACGGCAATAGGTAAACTCAACTCATTTGTATCTAGACTTTTCCCGATTGTAGACTCTTGACCAGGCATAGGCTTTGAGTCATCTCTACTATCTTTTCCTCTCACATTTGTTCCCTTATTTCGCTTGGCATACGTTCTCACCTCCTTTCCTACCTGTTCATCATTCGTTTCAGCTATATTATCAGGGTCTCCTCATTACAGTTAGGTTCTGTCATTGGTGAAGTGGACTGTTTGTCACTTAGTTCTGGTGGGATAGGAATTAGGTTGAGGTTCAGGCTCGGGAAAAAGAAGAGGGAAGGAGTAATTGTTGTTCCTTGTACTAACATCTGATTGATTTTGATCTTGACAAAGTGTCCATTCATTATTCCTATCACACTCCCCCTAAATGGGTAATTTAGAATAAAAAGGCTGATGTTCAAGAAAGGTTACATTCATCGTGACATAAAATTTGTGAGTTGTGGGAGAATAGCATTTGTATCCTTTTTGAGTAGGAGATTAGCCAAGGAAAATACATTTAATGCTGCGAGAATCAAGTTTGCCCCCTTTGTCGTTTTGTACAAAAATAGTACATCCAAAAACTTTTTGTGGAAGAGAGTTAATTAGGTGAGAAGTTTGAAAATAGTTTTGGAATGTGGTTAAAGGAGTTTGATATTGAAGGGTTTTAGAGGGCATTCGATTGATTAAATAGGCAGATGTAAGAAGAGCTTCCCCCTAATAAAAATGCGGAACATTGTTAGTGAACATAATTGCACGAGAAACTTCCAAAAGATGACGATTTTTAAGTTCAGCAACTCCATTTTGTTGTGGAGTGTTAACACAAGAGGTTTGATGGTGAATTTCATGGTTGGACAAATAAGTTTGAAAATTGGAGCTTAGGTACTCTCCCAAAATCACTACGTAAGATTTTAACGTCAGTTTGAAACTGATTTTTGATAAATGTGTGAAATTTCTTGAAATAGTAAAAAGCCTCGGATTTTTCTTTCATCAAAAAGACCCATGTTAGGCGAGTGTGATTATCGATAAAAGTAATAAACTATCGCACGTTAGACAACAAAACAACCCATGAGGGACCCCAAATGTCACTGTGAATTAAAGCAAAGGGGTGAGATGGAGTATAGGAAGAAGGTGGGTAGGACGGCTTTTTTTGTTTAGCCAAGTAACAAAACTCACAAGTAAAAGGGCTAATTTTATTATTGTCAAAAAAATGAGGAAACAAGTGCTTCATATAGCTGAAACTAGGATGACCTAACCTATAATGCCACAGCATTAAATCATTACTTGAAACAGTAGAATGTGTTTGAGCTAGCTCACATTTGGATGATTTGCCCTCAAGATAGTAGAGATCCCCCAATGCCTCAGCATGACCAATCGTCTTCCCCGAAGTCAAGTTTTGGAACAAACAGAATTCATGAGCAAACCAAACACCACAGTTGGATTGTTTAGTAGACCGCTTAACAGAAAGTAGGTTGCAGGGATAGTTGGAACATAGAGTACATTAGTCAATGTGATAGAATCTGAAAGAACCACAGTGCCAACTGAAACAACCCCCGTAATTCATGGTAAATAAACATTTTTAAAAGGATAATTACTTTAAAAGGCTAGCCATGGTAGGAAGGATAAATATAATCAAATAGAAATTTACCATAGTCAATAACAAACCAAATCTTTAACAGAGTAGTAGCTATTGTTCTAGAATAGTAAAGATAGTTAATCAAATAAGAAAGGATCAACATTTGATTTTCCATGTATATATCAAATCCATCAGTAATACTCTGGAATCTCAACTACAATTAAGACCAATTGTAAATGGGCTAGGACATTGAAGTCCACCAAAATAACTACCACTACTGCCCATTATCAATTGCAATCAAAATAACGATCACATATGACCAAAAAGGGCTCCGCCCAATAGTACAAGTCTAGAATGCAGCGGAAAGGCTATGATAATGTCAACTAAAACAAAAAGGCCCTAAAGTTTGGCAATATACATCAGTCAAATCATGTATATCAAAATAGAGGCTATACTGAGTGGAAAGGAAAACTCAAGCCTCGGACACCTTCCCCTTGGGACCAAAACCTGAACCCTCGCCTGAAAAATGTTAAATAACCACGGGGTGAGTCAAATTGACCCAGTAATCACAATTCCAATTCAACAAGTATCCAGGGAGTGATTACAAGATAGCTAAGCAGGCAAAGTACAATTTCAAATAACATATAAGTTAAACATCTTTACAGAAAACAATATATAATCATTCAGAAAGTAACTTGCATGCATAGGACTTCATCAACCATCCTTATAACCTCCTTGTAACCTCTGACAGAACCCATGGGCTATTCACACATAACAGGATTCGTCTCTTTTACAAGACTGCACCAAGCTCTCCAATAATGAGGTGTAATTCGGCCAAAAGTTATAGAGCTCATATCGGACCATGGGTTCCCTTTCCTTGGAATATGGAAAGGTGTCATGTCCCTTGGGCTGACCCTTGACCCGGCCAAAGGAAGGGTGATACCGAGGGCCCTAAGAATGTTAATGCCAACCACTGGGCGCCAAGTGGCAGCTATACCACGTGGTATAAATAATCAGACCTCCCACAACTACATTTCAGCACAACCAACAAAGCCCAATCCAACCATCCAATTCCACACAATTTCATATCCATAAAGTATTCTCATATTCAATAATCAAATTTATTCAACATCAACAAGATATTCATAAGATGAAATAATTCATGCCCACTTAACTAATAAATTTATCAAAACTTAAATCTTGGTATAGATATATAAATTACTTTTCATACAGAAACCACCATAACACATATTGAGAACATTCATAATATCAACACATGCTTATAATCACATTAACAAGCATACAAGGTAAATTAGAAAGTGGTTACCTCAAGTTCTTGACACAAGAACTAAAAGTAGGAGGATTCAAGACCCAAGAGCCCAAACCAAGCTCACTCTACAATAATAAATTGATAAACATATATTAATATAAAAAGACTAATTAATATAGCATTAAAATAGTTTATTAACTAAATCCCCATAATTGGCTTATCTAAAAATTTATCCTTAGGAAAAAAATAATAATTCATCTATTCTTCCAAGTGACAATTCCTAATACTTCCCAACTCTATTTCTCTCATTCACATCATTAATAAGAATATTTCCGTTAAATCATCCAAAAGTCTCCAAAAAGTGTTTATTTTAACTCTTAGAAAAATAATCATGTACCATCTATGCCTCCAATCATTATTACAACCCTATTCCCTTCTTCCATTAATCATTTCCCATTCATTAGAATCAATAACTTATAATATTTTCCTCAATTTACTCCAAACACCCAATTTCCACTACTTAAAGTCTCTCCAATAAATCATCAACATTACTATTTCAACAACAATCCTCAAAATTTAAGCATTGGATCCTCAATATAACCTCAAATGAACTCAACTAAGAGATAAATTTCGAAATAAATATCATTATTAATACAAATCACAATTTCCCAACCAATTTCTAGCTCACATTGCCTCAAATCAACCATCCAACTAAAATCTAAGTCATAAGACTCTTATTCTAACCACATAAGCTCTATTAATATCCTAATACTAAATTAGAAGCCTTAAAAATTAAAAATCTAACAAGCCCTAAAAATATTCATTCTGCCATAACTTAGAAAATAAAAGAATAAGCTGAATAATAAAAATTTTAGGATGAAGATGACTTACATAGATATCTTATATGTACCCAAGTAGAACCCTTCCTTTCTCACACACTCAAACCACCTCTCACACCCACTCACTGTCGCGGCGCTATGAGGACGCGGACCAGAGGAAAACAGCGAAGTGGAAAGGGGATGGGGAGAAGCATCTGAAAGTGGGGGTACGTGTACCCCCCACTTGAAATGAATATTATTATTATTATTATTTTCATTAAAAGAGGCCACGGCCCAAAGGGGCTTACACCCCCGCCTCCTCCCGCTGGCAGTGGGTGGCCCACGTGCCACCCACTTGCCTTTATATATATATATATATATTAATTTTTTTAATTAATTTTTTTTAAATATAATTTTTATTTTATTTTTTTTTATTTTTATAATTTATATGTATATCACAGAAACTATGATTTACAATTTATTCAATAAGCTTTCATATTAAGTATTATGAATTAATCTCACTCATATAACCTAAATCCTATAATAAGATAAAGGAAAAAAAATGGAATGTTACACCAACTCCCAATACTTGGGCGTAGGTGTCATTAGCTACTTTGACTCTTGTATGCAGTGTATTAGTGGTGAAAACAGAAAACAAGTCTTGAAAACCATAGATATGATTAGTGGCCCCCGAATCAACAATCCAAATATTATTATGGTTGGAAACCGATTGAAAGGCTGCAGTAATTGATATACCTACTTGTGCTAAGGATACAGAGGGGGTTTTGTTAACCTGAACAGATTTGGAGTCATGTTTGTCAAGAAGGCTACGAAGAGCAGAGAATTCTGCGCGACTTAGAACCACACTGTCAGTGTTGGTATTTGTCATGTACCCTCTGGTGTCATCTTGTCCTCGAGGTTTGCTTGAGGGTTTGCCGTGCAGCTTCCCACAGACTTCTTTGGTGTGTCCACCTTTATTACAGTGTTCACACCATCGGGAAGATTTTCTAGTGCGTTGATCAGAAAAATTATTGTTGTGGGAGGCAAAGGCCGATGCATGAAGGGGATTGGATGAGTCACCAATGTCATTGATGAGAATTTTGCGACTTTCCTCACACTTGATCATATTAACCGTCTCTTCAAGAGAGGGTAGAGGTTTCATGCCCATAATACGACCTTGAACATCCTCAAAACGATCATGTAAACCAAGGAGAAACTCATAGGTTCTCTCCCTTTCGATTAGTTTCTTAAAATAAGCAGAATCAATAGAGCAAGACCATTGGTGTACCTCATATAAGTCAATTTGTTGCCACAGATGAAGGAGAGCACTATAGAATTGTGTGACAGACTTGTCGAGTTGTTTGAGTTCACGTAGTTTGCCCTTGAGTTGGAGGATAGCAGCTGTGTTTTCCCGAATTCCGTAAGTTTGTTTGGCAGATTCCCATATTTCGTGGGTAGTGGTGGCAAGTATCATTGGCGCCTATCTCAGTAGTCATGGAGCCCAGCAACCATGTCATCACCATACTGTTTTCTGCAATCCAGGTCTGATAAGATGCATCTGTTGGTGAGGGCTCCTTTGAAGCACCAGTTAAGTATTTCTCCTTGCCCTTGCCGTAGATATAGAGCAAGATGTTGTGTGACCAGAGGAGGTAGTTGTGCTCGGTGAGCCTGTGGGTGATGATAGCGGACGGGAAGGCGTCAGAAGCACCCATCGCAGAACCGTGCGACACATCTTGGGAGGGCGAGTCAGATGATGGTTCCGAGGTCGCACTTGTCTCACTAGCAAAGGCCCTCATAGAGCCAAAGGATAAGTTCTGCATTGCAGAAAGTGTTGCGCTCTGATACCATGTAGAATTAGGATGCAGAACTGATTGATTTTATTCAAATGTGGACTCGGTACATATAGGAAGAGATTAGGGTTAGTTAGCCCATAATCTCCTAGAATCTCGGAAGCTTACAATTAAAGGAAAATCAAATCTGTAAAACAAGTCTGAATATTTCTAACAATCTATAATTTAAAAGGATAAATATTAAATATTTAAATATTAAATATTCCTACTAAAACGGCGCTGTTCAACACTCTGTTTCTCACGTACATGTGTAAGCTTGGTCATTTCTGTTGATTTCTCCCCTGTTATGTTTTTCCTGGCTGCTCATAAAATCACATCCTCAAATATAAAAATAGACAGCGTAGAGTAATGAAGAGTTAAGGTATATGTTGATGCCTGTCATCCTAACTTTTTCATTTTTCTTTAAAAGAATAAAAATCGAGACCCTTATTCTGGACCAGGTCTTTGGATAGTTCTGATACTTCTTATTAAGATAATAAGATCTTTTGATTCTCATTCAGTTTTTGGGACAACCCCCGGGGGGGGGGGACTCTTTTTTCTTGCCTTATTTGGAAGTCTAAAGTCCCTTTAATGAAGAACTAAATCGTTCCAAAGGCTTAAGCTGTTTGGAGAAGACGACGAATGATATTTTTACGCGCACAAGCATAGCCCCTTGTGTTATTTTCACCAGGCCTTGAAATGTTGTCAAAACATATCGGGGGAGGTAAGCATTGAATGGTTGAATCCCTAAGCAGGTCATAGAGGTCCTAAAAAACTGTGCGAAGAACTGATTCATCCCCAAAGCTGAAGCTGTTTGGTGAAGGTCTAGCGATGGTATTCACATACACAACATATAGAAAGCAAACCCTTACAAAAAAGTTGTTAGGGCTTGAAGCATGTCAATGGTTCAATGGGCCCCAAGTACTCTAAAAAAAAAAAAATGTAATAAGGAAAAGTGGGAAAGGCAAGAATTGAACTCCTGACCACATAACAGAGGCCTTAATACCTGGTGAAGAACCAAGTCAGCTTAAGTTTCTTAGAGAAGTCTCACATGTGACATTGATGTACAATTATACATGCTTAACTTTTATTTAACTGTGATACATAGCAAGATCAAGTCTGTGATCTGTTGTGGGTAATTTCTCAAAATGCTCCCCCCCCCCCCCCAACAGTGTCGATGTTTATATGTTTTATAATTATAATACCTATTTAGCCTAGCATTGGAGGTGAGGTAGCCCAACATTCCTAAAAAATTCTAAAGCAAAGCCATATTTTGCTTGAAACATGAGACTTTTCTGAAAGGACAGGATTAAACTCGAGGTCCTAAAATTCTGAGCTAAAGCAGGGAATCAATTAGACATAGTTCAGTAGTATTAAGTAAAAATTGTTTCTCAATCACCAGTTGTGTCTGAGATGGCTAAATTCATGCTAAAAATCAGTTGACATCTGGTACCTGGCAGTCATTGTGATGCCTCAAATGTTAGCAAAGTGGCTGGGTCTCACTTGTAGGAAATTCATAGCCATTGAATAGAGTAAAAGTGCCTTGTATCTATGGGCATGAACTTCATTGGCAAAGGTCAAGCCTTTCTCAGCTACACACTACTTGCTTACAAGCGACTATGCCTGCCTAGCTCATTAAACATAGTTATACTTGTAAAAACTTTTTCCCTGTTTCTTATTTCTCCTTTTGCCACCAGATTTTGGTATGACAGGTGAATTTAAACAAGAATTGCGTGATGGTTTCATTGAAGCTTGTCTCCATCTTGTAAATCGTGATTTTGACTCATTGGCTAAGGACTTTGTCACTCTTGGGTATTTTTGAAATATGTTTATATGCCTTTATTTTTCAGTTTGAGTAGACTATTCTCATTTAGATGGGTCTAATTTAATTGTAAATTTTATCAGGCTTCTTCCACCAACTTCTGACAGAGAAGCTGTGACAAAGGCCTTGACAGGTTCTTACTTTATTATGTTTAGGTGAACTTTAATATTTTTCTGACTGTAATTTGCTGTAGAACTTAATTGCCGTTCCTTTCTAGGGAACTTATTAATTACTGATATTGCCTGTGTTATTTTGATGTAGGTGTCTTCAAAGATGCTGTCGCCAAAGGAGTTCGCAATATCAGCTTTGGAGATCTTTTAGGAGACTTAGGAACCACCATGTAAGTTCTTTTCACTAAGCCATGTAATATAAGGACGCAGATAGTATTTGTAGGTCTTCTAGGTTTGTCAATGGCCCATAAAATGTACCTATAAATGTTAATTATGTATATTACATAAAAACATAACCACTGCATATCTGATTTGTACCTCTGCCACATGTACCTTTCAGCCAGATATATTCTTTACACACACACACACACACAAGGGCAAGACAAAAGTCTTGAGGTTACAAACAGTTAAATACTATGAAAGGTCTATATCTGCATAGAGTCCGAAGTCAGAGTTATATGCCTGTAGAATAATAAAATTTAGTTGCAATTATTATAATTACAATTTTATAAGGAAATAAAAAAATGATATGTAGTATTTATCTTCTCATACGGACCCAAATTGGAAACAATTGACCTTTATATCTAGCCAAGATAAGCCTAATGTGCTTAACCAATAGCCTGATTTGAGTGTCAACTCAATGCATGGGAGTGATTCGGTGGCAGCATTGCAATGACCCTATTTTATTTTACCTGGTTCATGGTCACTTCACATCTATATGCTCCTTCCTTAGTCCCTGAATTGAACAAGTGTAATCACATCTTGTCACTAGCTTATTAAAGACTAAGAAAAAGTGTCATGTAGATTCCTGAGCTTCAAGCCAAAACTTAACTGTTTGAGGTTTCAACGTATAGGATTTAATAATTTTCTAAAGCCAACTCCATTGGGGGATGTAAATTTAATGTACTAGCGTATAATGGACCAAATTAACAACATATCTTGCTTATTCTTCTGCTATTTTCTTCCTGATGCTGGTTGGCTTATTCTTTATGTTTCTTTTTGACATGCTGTGTTGTCTTCTATTTCCAGGTATAAATTCAAATTCAGGATTCCTTCTTACTTCTCACTTGTTATCCGAAGGTAATGCTTTTGAATCTTGTATTAAGTTAAGATCTTTAGTTAGTTCATTATAATTTATAATCTTACATTTGATCTTTCAGCCTTGCTGTACTCGAAGGAATTGCTGTTGGTTTTAATCCTGAATACAAAGTTTTGGGTAGTACTTACCCTTTCATTGCTAAAAAAGTACTTACTGGCAGCTCTCCTCAGCTTAAATCTTCATTGCAGACTCTTCTTTATAAGGTGAAACAAGAAAAAACACATTTATGTTGCTTGACCTGGAAATGGAATTTAAATTATCGTTGACATGCCTTTTCTCCTCTTGCTGACTCAATTACAAACTGCAATAGTGATTGATGTTCTTCTTTATCAGGATGGCGTGTTCAGAATAGATCGTCTAGAGTCCTTGGTAACAGAGGTAAATTTATTCTTTTCTTTCCTTTTTTTTTTTTTTTTTCCTTTTTTGCTTTCTTAACTGTTGTCTGCTTGAAGTTGACTTGTTAAATTACGTTGGAACTTGGGGTTTCTTTGTAGTCTATCTTTCTTGTCAAGTAACACACCAAATATCATGTTTAAGATTTTACAACATTTATTTGATTTTGTTTTATTCATACCCATGGGAAATATGAAGCCATATATACGGAAGGTTTTCATATGTTGGTTCAGTTTTATAAACATACTTTTGATTTCTGTAGTTGGACAGGTTGAGTGACAGAACCCTGCTGATAAAAACAGACAATACCAGAAAAATACAGCAGAAGAGATGAGGGAAATCCTTCGGTTTGCTATTAGATACTAGTTCATCACCCTTGTATCAAAACCCAATAGGCTTTCCGTTACAGCATTATTTGGGGCCATTAATAAAGGTTAAGTAATGGCCCAAGCTGTTAGGTAAACCTCAGGCATGGCCCAGTTTATTTGCACATAATTGAACACAGATTTGAAAAAATCATTTGACTGAATTTGACAAATTTGACATATAAAGAATAACATGCTTGGAAAAAATAAAAAAATAAAAAACAAATCATAGTACTATTTTCATCAGTCCGAACATTTTTCCCAAGTATTCACGTTTTTTACGTTGTTGATTTATTAGAAACGATCGAATTATAGTGTGAGGAAAATGAGATATGATACAATAAAAGGTGAAGAATAAAGGCAAATGATGTGAACTGAACATTTCAGTAGATTATGGGAGTGTTTGGATGAAACCAAACTATAGTTTGGAAAATAACTTCTGAAGAATAGATTTTTGGGATAATAGATTTTGTAAAAAAGTGATTCTGATAAAATGAAAGTATTTGGATAATTATTATTAGAAGCATTTTTTATATGTGTAAATTACTAGATTTTATAATATATTTTAATTTGAAGAAATAAAATTGTTAATAATATATTTTTTACCAACATAATTAATAATATATGAGATAATGTAATTAATAAATAATTAATATGTGTACATATATTTATAAAATATAAGATTAAATATGTTTATAAAAGAATAATTAGGGGGTGTTAAAGTCATATTATCGTTGAGGTCTATTCTGACAGGCACAATCATACTCTTTACTTTGAGTCAAAAGCAGAATGGATTCACTTTTTCTGAAATCATGATTTTGGCCCAAAACTGGATTTGTGCTTCTTCCTCCTTGTTTTGCAATTTTTTTTCCCAAACCATGGTTTGGGCAATTACACACTCAGGCCCTATATTGTTTGCCATGCCCACTGGGCTCAAAGCTGAATAGACCCTACTAAGTTGGGTCAGTAGCCCCATGGGCTAGACCTTTATTGGCAAGACCAACATAGCCTCGTGGAGAAACCATAAGTGAAATTGCACAAGATAGTCGTTTTTTCTTCCTTTCCTATCAATTTCTGCTTATTGCTCTTTCCTTTTCCGTACTTAAAACTAACAAATTCTTAATGACAGTCTCTACGTGCCAAAACAAACAAGGCCATAGTTAAAAAACAAAGGGACAACAGTGATTCAAGGATGGCTGTAAAGGAAGTCCTCTCTTTTACGCTAACGGAGGAGGTAGCTCAAGTTTGTCTTTTGTATTAAGTTTTCTATCCAGTGACTGATGCTATTCGTTTCATGGTAAAAACTGCAGGGTGCATTTGTGAGGGAAATCATTCTTCAAGAATTGGCGAAAGTATGTTTCTTCTTTTGAGGTCACCTACAATTACAATAAGGGGCGATTTAAGAAAATCATAGTACTTTATGTTCCAGCTAAAGAATGTGACTAAATTGGTTAGTCAATTCAAACCTAGCTCTTACTTAAGTGGACATTCTCTAATGCAGGGTTTGGATGCACTTGGGCGAGCAACCTTGGATTCTATAACTTCTACAGCTGCTACAAATGTACCGTTCGCTGCTTTCTTTACATACCCTTTAATGACTGATGAAGACATCAACAACCTCAGAACCTTCCAACGCCTAATGCTATTGGTGTTGGGAAGTACAAGAGGTGAAGATTCTAATACGGTGAGATTTATAGTTCATTTAGGGGAAAACTACTTGTATATGAGTCTAAACTACAAATAAGTGTACAATTTTAGATCACTTGAGCAGGGACTAAAAAAATTTTGTTCCCCCATGAGGCAAAGGAGTGGGAAGTTTAAATGCACTGGTTTAGGATGTTTCAATATACACACACACATATATATCATTATAATTTACTGTCTTAAAAAATGAGTGTAACTGAAACACAATAGAAGTGACTCAGACATATTCTCAAGGCTTGTCAAAGTGAAGGCCATAACCTCACATGCTCTTTCACGCTACGAAAATGAACCTTTTATTGGTACTCATACGACAAATATAGTTTGACTGTGTGAGAAAAGTAAACATCATTGATATAACTGTGTTACCTTGTGTTGCTGACCCAGTGCTGCATTTAATTTTCTTTTTCAATAGAATTATTTTTCACGATACATTAAGAATTTCCTAATAGAATGTGCCTGTATAGTCAAACGACTCGAGTCAGTTCTTGATAAGTTTCTGTCTTGTAGGGAAGCAGACAGGCCCAGGTTAGCCCCTACAAGAACCAGCCGGAGGAAGTATCGCTAGTATTAAGTCGTCTTGAATCAATTCAAGAGATTCTTCCTGTTCTTACTGTTATACCAGAGGTAAAATTAAGCATTTGCAAATGTGACGCATCTAATTTTGTCATTCTTCCATACAGTTACAACTCATTAGTAGGGATGCTGTCACTTGTGTTTTTTTGTTTTTTCCCCCGTTTTGGAGGGAAAGTGAATAACTATATTCAAAAACTCTATTTACAACAAAAAGGGGCATATCCCAATACTACTCAAAAGATGTAAAATCTCAAACCTATAGCTTTTGAATGCCTTTTCGTATCAATCAAACTATGCTTCTATGAGATCATCTGTCATCCTGATGCATATGCTATTTCAATTGGAAGTTTCTTGCTTGAAGATAACATCATTCTTGTCCTGCCAAAGCACATATATTGGTGCATAAAACATGGCTACTCTTAATCTTGAAAAACAGGCTGATTTTTATGTTTTAGATTGAATAAACACTTGGTGCCATGTTCCAAAACAAGAAAAAAATCCAATATTAAAATCTACTCTTTGCATCAGATTCCTTAAGATCCCAGAAGAAAATCTGCATCCAAAGAATGGTCTCTGCTTTTAGGATGAACATTACGAAACAAACATTTCCTCTTGATATTGTTTTTTCTGAAAGTATTTGTAAATGTTGGCAGCTTCCAACAGAATCTCAGCAACAGTTGCTTCAGCTGCCAGCTGACCTAGCTCAGCGGTTGATATCCCGTGCCGCAGCAAGAACACTAAGAAGAGTTATGTTATGATACGGTTAAATCAGGTCGCATAAAGGATTTATGGAGCATCTGAAATGGTTTGTGTCTATGGTCTCGTGACTTCAACAACTGGGATTTGGGAAATAAGCAGGACTTGTGACTTGGAGGGCCCTTTGGACGGCGAGCGCTATAAAGGACACTGTTAAGTCACTTAAAGATTTTCTGCTTCAACGCTTACAAGATGTCTAATGCCTCAAAACCTTTCATGTCTAGACTAAGATTTGAGGCCAAAGATTTTGATGTATAAATAGAGCATTCATGTTATAAATATATAAATTCTACTGGGTATTGAATTTTGGGTTATAAATTGGGTAGTAAAATTTTATTCATTGATATCTTGTATTCAAGGAGGAAAAAACCGGACCGACCAATTCAACCGGAAAACCGGTGAACCGGTCTAAGATCCGGTTTGGTTTAGCTTGAAAACCGGCCTTCAGTCAAATCGGAGCAACTCGGAATGAATCGGAAAAAACTGGTCAAAACCGGGCAAACCGCTAGCTTCACTGGGTTGGCCGGTTGCTTCCCCCCCTCTTTCTTGCTCTCACGTTCGCCGGATGTCTCGCCGCTTGTGGAGACCATGGACACTGTAGAGATAAGTGGTAGAAGCAGAGGAGATCATTAAAGTGAAGAAAGACAGAACTTTGTTTGTGCCACTTTGAAGCGTACTCGTGAAAGATTAGAAGGCAAGCAGAAAGATAATAGAGAGAGTAGGATGAATGAACAAAGTGTAGAGAGAAAAAATGGTGGCATTGTTTGTTGTTTCTTCGTCTAAGAAAGAAAAGGAAGTGAGGAACGTAGGAAGCACTTTAGAGGACGAAGGGAGAAATGAGTCAAATGACCATGAGTACTCAGGAGGTAAGATGAGCTCCCCCTGCCTATTCTACCTTGCTACTCTACTTGTTCATTGTCCAAGGATGAGAGAGGAAAGAAGAACTGCTCCGTGAGGCGTGACATAGGGAGGAAAATGTGGAGTGCACGTGGGAGAGAGAAGAAGTAGTAAAAACAATTAAAAAAAACAAAAGATTCTGTTGGGTGAGATGAGAGAAAAGAAAAGGAAAAAAAAATGAAAAAGAGAAGTAAAAAATTTCATATACATGAATATTTTGCAAGATAATTACCCATTAAAAAATTAAATATTATTTTTTATAATTCTATTTTTACTAATTTTAATTAAATTATATTATTTTAATTATTACCGGTTTGATCCGGTCTGACCCTGATCTGACTCACTAACCCTTAAACCAGTGTCTTGACCGGTTCATTATCCGGTCCGGTTTTTTGTTCCTTGCTTGTATTAGCCTTATCAACAGCATCCTAATAATTAGAAATGAAGTGGAAAATGTCATAAATATACTCGCTAGACCCCATGCTGCCAATGATTCTGTACAAGTCTTTTGGCTTCCTGCAAATGTGTCGTGTGTGTGTATTTTAATTATTATATCCCTTATTCATTATATCGAAAATTTTAATTATACATATGTATGATTAGAAAACTTAACATAATGAATATAAGAAAGTTGATGTAAATATGGTTTTAGTTCTTTATAAAATACAGGTAAAATTTAACATCATTATCTTCGAAAAAGTTATGTTATCTTAAAATTACAAATCAAGAAAGGTGAACATTTTACTATTTTTGCTACATGTATGTAAATCATTTTTTAATAATTAAAATATTAATACCAAATATTTAAAATATTGGGCATTAACCAAATACAAATATTCATTTATTTTCACAACATACCAAACATGTCTACTTCAATAAAACCACATTCTTTCTCAAACATTTTTCATGAACTAACCAGTTCTTGATTGTTGATCTAATATTTCTCTCCGTCTCCCTCTCATCAATTTGTTTGAATTTCAATATTATCCTTATTAGATCAAGCATAATATTTCCCTACTATAATAAAATAACAATACCACATAATGCTATTTTATAGCAAATATTCCGTTGAATCCTAAGTGCAAGAGTTGTCTAAAGGATTTGTTTTGGTCATACATGTAAATTTTTAATCCACCGTGTTTTTTAATTTATTTTTCTGTGACTATCCCTATGAATTATGCATCTTAAAGGGATTTCTATAAAAATAAAGGTAGTTTTTTTAATTTTAAGAAAACCAACACATGATTTTACAAACAACTAACTAAATTAATTTTCTCAATCTTTATAAATTAGTTATTTAGTTCTTATATTTAAGGAATGAGAAAATATGATATCCAAACTTATTTTTAATTAAATAAAATATGAAGCAACAATATTTTTCCAGATTTAAACTTTTAAAATGTCTTTTGAAATATTTGTACGTGCAATAAAACCAACACCACGTATTGTCATTTTACAATAGCATGTTTGCGTTACTAATTTTCCAACAGCAGAGTATTTATGCTCTTTAAATCAAATTATCCCTGTTCTCTTTTTTCCCTTAATTGAAAAAGAAAAAGCTTTCATGCATTTTTTTTTATTAATCTTGTTCAGACTCAAATTAACAAGGGTAATTTGAAAAACAAATTTAAGAGATAAAGTGAATTGTGATTTTTCATTTAAGACCATAGTAAACCCATTTATTAAATTTTACATTTAGAACTAGATGAGTAATCTGTAATTTTCTAAATAGGTTTCTTTCTCTTGTGTGTTTAAAATTGAGAAGATTTATCCCCCAGAAAAAAAAAAATTAGAAGAAAACTATACTACAGACTGACTAGTGACAATAATATTCAAATCAACTTCAAGTTGATAATGAACAAAGCGTAAAATGAGAACTCTTTATTGGTGCTTAGAGGTGCATTTTATCTGTAACAATAGCACCGTACAACAGATATTTATTATAAAAAGAAGTGTTCGTAACAGTGCAAGTAAAAATAAAGATAAGAAGAGAACGATAATCACTCTTTCCGGTTCAAAATATAAAATTTAAATCTTTAAATGTGTCTAGTGTTTCTTACAGGTTTATTTATCTTATCATTTAATATATCTTTTTTTCTGTTTTACTCCTAAATAATTATATATATCACTTATCTTTTTTCCCACTCATTCTTTTTCATCTTTTTTTACACTTATTTTCTCTTACTCACCCTCTCTATAAGGTTATTTTAGAAAAAATAAGTTACATTTTTTTACACGTGTATTGTCTTTAACCAACCTTGATCAACTTTTTGAATTGCACAATTTAGTTTTTTTCACGCTTATATTTTGACTCAGGAAATATATCAATATGCATAAATATTTCATTTCCATTGACATTATCCAAATTCATCAACTAATACAGGCTATCTGTGTAGCCCCATATCAAGAACTTGATAGCAAACCAACTTTGCGCGAAAGGATAGCATTCAAACATAGTTTTTTGTTTACCAACAAAAACACGTTAACTTAAATAACAGGGCAATTATGTTCATAGGGAGTTGGGGGGGGGGGGGACAGACTAGGCAAGGGAGAGAGAAAGTCCTCAAGGCCAAAGTCATTATTCTCCAAATTCTCTCTTCTAAATAATTTCATATGAACTCATTTATAGCTCCTAACTGTTACATGATATGTAAGGCCAAAAAATTACAAGAATGCAATGGTACTGACAAAATTTTTAAATATTTGAACCTGATCTAAGCAAATGATAATATACAAAGCAACCTGCCTTGATAAGTCTTCAGACAGATTCTGGAAATTGCAAGAGTTAGCAACACTACAATCTCTGTCGGCAGGTTGCTGCGTATTCGAAGCGTTCGTATGTTGCTGCCTGCTATGAAGGCTGGGTCTGATCTCGCCGGAGAGCCTGCTGAAGCTGAAAAACCTGCTGTTGCTGCTCCGGTGGCAAGGAACTCAATTGCTCCGGCGTTAGACTCAACACTTGTTGCAGTAAAACCGATTCCACATCCGAAGGTAGCTGAGCCTGGACAAGGAAGTTGGCATGAATGATATTATCTTATACAGAATTAGTGGCTTCTTTGGTCAGATATAAAACACACAGATGTAACAAGTTGGTTTATAATCAAAGATGGGTTTGTGGTCCAAATGCAAATAAACTCAATCCCAGTTTCATTTCAAGCAGGTGTTAAGCATCATATTTTTTGTTTGGTTGGTTGAATGGGGAAAAATGCTGTCGCGTAGATGTTATAGAGAAATGAAGTAGATGACTTTCTATAATCACAGTAAAATTTGGATGAAATAGAAAACAAATATATGAAGTACTACCTGTATCTCTTATTATAAAATCCAAATAACCGAACTGCGTGATTTAAAAAAACTGTTAAAATTAGTTAAAAGTGATAAATATGTAAGAAATATACAAAAAAAAAAAAAATTCAATATAGGCCCTTATTTATAAGCAGGTAAGTAAGAGTGAGAAAGAACACGAGTATATATGAGCAAAAGATAACAAGAGAGAATATATTAATTAAGGGTAAAATAAGTAAAACTGTATCTAATGTATAGAGAAAACCTCAAGTGCATTTGATAAAAAAAGACAAACCAATTCAAAAATTTGAATATTATAATAAGATACAGAGAGTAATAAAGAATTTAAATGATGTTGAGAAGACCAAAAATTATTTAAGGATATATTATCTTGGGAAAAAAATGATTTTAATATCTTCTATATGCACCCTCTTTTTTACACGAATTAGTTATTGAACAATCAGTTCTAAATTCTAGAGGCATAATAATAGTAATTTAGTTGCCAATGCAGATACCTTCACTCGAGGAGGGAGAAAAGAATCTTTGTATGAAATTATTTGGACCTAACTACAAAAAGATTTATTTTTGGATAAACACACAGAAAGGGACAATTAGAAGGAAAGAAGAGAAACTGTGAATGAGCGAACAGAGTATCCTCGTCTTGGATAGAAAAACATACTCCCCCTTTCCCTTTGATAAAAAACAACTGACCAAATAACATTGATAAAAAAGTTGGTTAAAATTGATTAGAAACAATAGATATCTAAAAACTGCAATTTTTACTGAAAAATATCCTTATCTATTGGGGGGGGGGGGGAGTATTCAGGAGAGAATAAGGAAATTATTAACATAAAGAGGATTGTGGAAGAAAGAGTGTGATGTAGAGAAGGCCTTGGGTACTATATAATAATAAATGTATTGATATTAAAATGAGTAATTAAAGGGGGGCAAAATGGAAAATTAACAAAGAAAATTTGAGATGTCATCTAAATGTCTCTTATAAATAAGAACAAGTCATAGATGGTGATTGTTTCTTATAAAAAGGAACGGAGGGAATATAAGTTATGCAAGAAAGGGGAAAACAATAATACAAATGAGCTTTCAAGTCCCTCTACAGGTCTAACAAGGAAATTTCATGAAAGAAATCGTGTGAAAAGCGAACAAGAAACCTTCAAAACAAAACCATTTCAAAGCAAGCCCAAAATAAAACTTTTAAAACAAGTAGAACAGAGTTCATGGCATTATTGAACGGAACAATACAGCACTTAAAAAAAAAAAAAAAAATGAATATGAAACCAATTACTCCGAAACTTCAATACCACTCAGAAATTCGTATGACAATGATTGACAAAATCTCGTCATTATGATTGAGAATTGAGAAATAATTATCAAATTCGAGTATAGATAAACCAACAAAACATAAACAAAAGTTGGTAGAGAAAATTTTCATTGGAATATCACCAAGTTATACATACCTGAGAGGATTGTTGCTCAGGGTATCGCGCTTCTGATTTGGAAGTTGCATTTACAGGCAATGACACACTTCCAAGAACATGGGAAGATCCCTTGGAAACAGGTACATTCGCAACTGCTGCGGAGAAAGAGGAGCTCCTTCCATCATCCAATTTAGCCAGCTTTGAAGGGCGGCTAAATGGTTCCAAAGGCTCATTTGTTTTCTCTCCTGATCCGAGAGCAATGTTTGAATATGTACTACTTTTCTTGGCCCAATTAGAATCTTCAACGACTTTAGCTGATCTGTCTGCTTCCCTACCAATTGACTGAGGAATACCTGATGATATGGACGAGCCAGGCTGTGTTGATCAATAAATTAGAGGCATATGTTAGTACACTCCATTGACAAAAGAAAAATAAACTTGGCAGGAGAAAATAGAAAAACAGCTTCTATAGTTAAAATGAAAGCATTCAGAATTTAAGAGTCAGATGGTGCAGAATGATGTTGAACATACTCAAGCATGAATCATTTATGCATGTTTAAAAAGCATAAGTTGCATTAGAAAAGTCAAAATGCATGCAGGGTAGACTATAAAGAAATGCATCCAGTGTCAAAATGTCAAAAGCTGTTTTCGTCTAATGTTTTTTTTTTTGGGGGGGGGGGTGTTGTTTTGTTGGGACACTTGGTCCCAAAAACATATCTGGGCTTTTGCAAGAAAAGCTCATTCAAACAATCTACTCTTTCGTGGTGCCATAGGACTATATATTTATGTCATTTCAGAAGCATGGGCCTAAGAATAGAGGGTGAATTCCTTCGTCACTTCCTATTGGTCTGCTTTCCAATAAACAAGGCAAAATTCACAAAAATTGGATCGCACCTGAAAGCCTGCATCGGGATGAATCATCCGAATACTTTGTCCTACACTTGAGTTACCAATTTGTCCGGAATGTTGTAGCAAATGCAATGGCTGATTCAGAGAATTTGAACTTGCCAGCTGAATTGGTGGTCTAACAGGCAAACCAAATGAAGACTGGGGGCGCATAGAAGGAAGCGATGAACTAGAATGCCCAGGCAATGTGCCCAGCTGTACCACTGGGTTGCTTGGATGTTGTGGAAGCTGGATTCGAGGCTGCAAAGGAGGCTTTGGGTGTGCAGGTAATTGATTAGGAACCAAAGAATTATGATGTAAAGCACTTGCTTGAGTTTCTTGAATATTGGGCATCAAGCCAGATGGCAATTTGATCTGCGCATGAGAAGGCAGCCCAGCTAGCGATTGAAGCACTGCAGACTGACCGCGCTGGCTTTCATCTACCAGAGGCTGGGAGGTTTCACCTGCAACTTGCCTAAGGTTTGGCATTTGCAACTGCAAATATAAAAAAGATAACAATAAAGTAAAAGGGATAAAGTTGATGTGAACAAAATATGCGGTAGTGAAACATACCACTTGAGGGGTCACCATTCCTAGCATTATCTGTGCCTGCAAATACAGAAAAATATTTATGAAAAAGGCAGACAATACCCTAAACGCTTCAACCATAATTTCTTGCTGTATAAATTAAATGGGAACAGGATTAAACATTTTGTATAGGTAAACAGAAGGAAACACAAATAGTTCAACCAATGGATTCACCGGACAGAAAATTCGGGCAGAGGAGGAACATTATTCTGTACAGTAATATAGCTATAATGAGATGAGGGTAACTATGCTTTCAGTTGACAAAGGGAACATCTGTTACAAATATCAACACAATGCAAGCACAGAGAATTGAAAATTAGAAAGGTATAAAACATATTTTTGCATATATACTCTTCTATGTAAAGAAAAGAATGTAAGCATTCCTTGAAAAGAAAAAAAGTCTTTCTTATTTAAAATGAAAGTGCATAAGCAATTTCCCAGAAGAAACAAAATCACTGAGTGGACTTAAAACAAAAAGCTTATAAGCATCTTCTACTCCTGCAGCATATTAGAAGCACAATGAAAAGTAAAACTCTGAGGTTTCTCTTAATAGTCCTGCCTACTATTGGCTTTGACTGACCCTTCCAAGTCATCTTCTCATCATCCAAATATAGCAATAATAGGCCTGCCTCAAGTTTTCAGTTCTATCACATAGAAAGACACAGTCTATGATGAAAGACAATGAGAAGAGGATAACTCACACTGGAGTGAAAGGGAACCCCTTTTTTGCATACAGAAAAATCTCAAACTACAGATATATCAATCTCTCATCCTCATTAAGTGACTGTGTCCCCACATTTTCACTAATTTTGTAATTTTTGCACTTTTTCTGTCCAAAATAGTTCTATATGGTATAATTGGTGTGCTGTCCTCATCATACAATTCAGTATCATCTATGCTGTCCAATGAAATGTATCACTGTCATCTGTCTTAGAGCATACAAAGACAGAGAGAATATGCATACAGAAAATAAGCAACCCAAGTCTCAACAGTACAGAATTGAGTATCTTTTAAAGAAAAAGTGAACTAATAAAGAACCATGCGCTTGCACAAACATACTAAGAAAAGAGGAGAGACAAAAGTCCAAACCTGAAAAAGAGCCTTAGGCAACTGCGGTCTAGAAAGTAACAATTGACGAGCTAATTCCTTGTTATGTGTAGCCATTGCCTGCCATCATTACAAATATATAGTAAGAAATAGTAATTTACTAATTTATACAAGAAGATGATCTTAGCTTAACCCAACACCTTGAGCTCAGAGATAATCTCAGTCAGCTGATTCCGAGATAGTCTAGCCAGATGCAAAGTTAAAGGGTCATGGGCCAATCCTGACTGAACCCGCAAACCATTTTGATTTGGCTGGATGCCAGATTGAGGCCCTCCTAGAGCTGCTTCCATGACAGTTGCAGCTGTTATGGCAATATGAAGACCAATAGGTTGACGGTGGGCAGCTTCCCCATGGACAGCTGGCCCAGCTACTTGTTTGTGAGGGTCTTTTATACATTGGAGGAGAAAAAGAGATGATAGAAACAATTCAGAGCCTATAGTCTGAGATAATTAATCAAAACAACTAAAGGAGAAGGATAAAGAACCAACCAACATTTGCAGCCAATCCAGGCCCACCACGACCCTGTAACAAAAAGAACAACAATATAACATTTTCAATAAACTGACGTCTGGAGCATGACTGATTCATCCACGTTAGATAAAAAGATAAAAAGCAACAACAGTAAAAATATACAATTATTTACAGGATCCAAGATACCCTTCACATTAGTTTGAATTTTATGAAACCCATTAATTTTAAGTAGGAAAATCTAGCTCACTTTAATTTGTTTTTAGCAAGAATTAATGAATAAACATTAATCTCTTTAAGCTGTTTCATTAAGGGGATATATGTTTGGAATTGGGTTGATTGATTGGTCATACATGCAAACTTAAACATCTAGTTTAAACATCTAGCTTAAGCAAGTTAGAAAACATCCATCATGATTACTAGATTAAGTTTTTAGTTTAAGGATGTAATCCTAACATCAGAGGAAAAAATGGTGTCCTCTTTCACTAGGAAAAAAAGAGGCCTTTTGGCCCCTTTGGTGCTGACAATTCAAGTAAAAGAACAGTTCTTGTTGCTATATTTTTATATCCTCATCTTATTTGATATGCATAGCAATCGGTGTATTAGGAAATCATAAACAAAGCATTACACAGGAACTAGCCTACTTATGTGTTAGATTTAGGTCCATGATAAATGACAATAGCAACAGTAAATAATTGAAATTATTGTGTGATTTTAGTAACTATAATTTCAAATTGATAAAAACCTCATCATTCAGCACAGTGGAAAAAATTTGATAACAGTAGCTGAGATAAACAAGTCCGAGTAAGTTTGCTACTAAAACTAACATAGAGAAAAGAGGGGATGCGTATATAGTGATTAACACCTTACACTGTCTCAGTTTTTTCATTATAAATCTGATTTTTATTAAAAGCAACACAGATCATATATGACAACAAGGCAAGGCGAGATACATTAATGTAAGAAAATAAATTCTACCAACATACCTGTTCTCTATTTCTGTCAGCACCTTTGTCATTTTCAGCAAAATCAACACGCAACTGCCGTCCATTAATTTCATAACCCTGAAGGTTACGGCGGGCACTTAGAGCAGCAGTCTCTTCATCCTTATACTCACAGAACCCATAACCTTTTGGTTTTCCAGTTTCTCTATCGATGACTAATCTGCAGAATGTATGAGAATAAAATACCTCAACCAAATAATTTCTTAACCATATTAGAAATAATTAGGAAAACCTATATTAGAATATGAACTTTATCCACTATTAACATAGCGAAAATTTGTTTAACCATTGCAGAAATACAAATCAAAGGCGTGTAAATGTACAGAAGCTTTTAACCTCCTCGTGATAGATTAAGGAAAATTTTGAAGCAAGCTGGTAACTATAGCCACTTCGATGTTAAGTAAGAATATCCGAGTTACCAAGATCTCAAGATTAACATGACTACATTTACCCTATTGATGACATCAATCCCCACTTAGAACTTCAATTTTTTGCACAGCAGAGGAAGTCTGCCTACTCTTCTCAAACAGTATAGCAATAATTTAATAACCTCAACCAGTCAAATTTTCAACTTCTTTTATTTTTCCTTAAAATAGAAAAGCTAAAGATCTCAAACAACGGCTTCTACTTTAAAATTTACCTGAATGATACTACAGGCCCAACCTCCTGGCAGATTTCAATAAGCTGTTCCTCTGTGGCATCATATGGTATATTCCCAACTAAAATATATCCAAAGGGGCAAACCAACTGTCATAATTTGCAACAACTAATGTTCATAAAACATCACACGAAAAAAAAAAATTCAATCAGTCAAAGAAATAAAACTTTGAAATTCTCATAACTACCCCGACATTCATCAGCTCCCAATCACTTAAAACTTGAAATCTATCAAGAAAACCGAGCTTTAAGGATAAAGAAATACCAAAAACGCAGCGATGCTGGGAGGTGGCCATGAAATCAAGAAGAGAGGAGAAGGTGAAGCGCTGCTCCATCTTCTTCCTCCTCGCGAGCATGACTCTGCAAATTGATGCAAAAACCAGATGCCTTATAAAAGGCTTTTGGAGATATTGAAAATCTTCGTCTCGGAGCGCGGGGGAGCAGATTCGTACCAGTTTATTGATGTGGTTCCCTCTATTGCAGAGAGTGGTCGAGGAAGACAAAAACTTGGGTTTCGATCTTTGATTAGTCCAGGCTTAACGCCATTGCTCGGGCCTTTTCTTTTCCTTTTTATTTCCTAAAAAACAAAAAAGAAAAATTCAGACAGAAACAGAAACGGGATGGTCTTCACCAAAAAAAAAAAAAAAGAAAAGAAAAAAAAAAAAGAAAGAAAGAAAGGGATAGTACACAACTCAATTTAAATAAAAAAACACATTTTATAAAATTAATAAAAAATTTTCTAATAAGTTAGACCATTTATAATTAAATTCATAATAATTATTTTTAATATATTTAATTTTAATCAAAAAATACTTTTCAATCTTTATACCTATACAACTCATTATAGATTAAAATAATTTTATGAATTACAAATAATATAACTCATTACAGATTAAAAATATTTTTTTATGGTTTAAACATATATATAATTTAACCAAAAAAATTACTTTTTTTGGTTATTAAAATTATAGATTAAAATTACTATTTGGTTAAATTATAAGATATATTTTTAAACAATCAAAAACATAATAAAATTACTAAAGTAAATTAAAATACTTTTTAATTTATTTTGCTAAATTTATACTTTTTAGTTAATGAAAAATATTTTGGTTAGTTTATGAAAAGTATTTTAAGTTTATAATGATTGAACAAATTTCTAAATTAATTATTAAAAAGACCTCAAATTTATCCTACATAACATAAATTTATTGGTTGAATTATGAAGAACGGGGAAAAAAAAAAACAGAGAGAGAGAAGGAGAGCATCAAAGGGAAGAAAGAGAAGAGGGTGGGTTATTTTTTTTTCTTTTTTTTTTGTTGCTAGATTTCACAATTTTAATTTAGGACTCAATCCCTTCAAGCAATTTAGCTTGTTAAAGTGTTCATTTTGCTATTTCATATTTTCAGGGACTTTTTAATGAGAATTTTCCTAAAATAATCATGAATCCTCAATCATCAACAAACAAGACACATTAAAGAAATTATAATTATTAACCAACGAACCAACGGAGCAAAAAAAAAAATTATAGTAGTAATTATTAACCTTGTCTTAAAATATACTACCTTCGGTTCTAATTATAAGACCCAGTTGACTATTTGGGGAGATTAAGAACTTAGTTAAGTTAGTTATTGTAATAATATATGTGTTGTTTTTCCTAAAAATATCCTTGCTAATCAAGTTTGTTATCTATAACTTACTATTATTAGAAGGGATATCATGGAAAAAAGTGGATAAATATGAGAGACAAAGTAGATTGGGTCTTATATTTAGGACCAAAATAAAAGTCAAATAGGGTCTTATAATAAGGACCGGAGGGTAGTAGTACTTTTTTAATTTTATTATATACTT